AAACCATAATTTTTAGAAGAGCATTGGCTATGGAAATTGCCTACAACTGCGATTTAAGTTTCATGAGGTGTTTTCACTATTTAATCCTTGGTTTGTTGTCGGATTGCAGTGGCATAAAGGGGAGGAGGCTTTCCTTTAGTTGTTGGGATGTTGCCATCAAAAAAATGGGTTAAAAGGGACAACTGAATAGTGTTGTGTCTGCTCTTGCAGCTAACAACAGGACGTGTTGCATGCTTTGGTTGTAGCTGAGACCCTTTACAGATGGACTTTAAACGAGAAGCAGCTCTGGCAAACGCTTTCTGACGTAGCGGGCGGTGAGAGGTGGAAAATAATGTAAAGTTTCCCCTTTCGATGTGTAATTGGTGGGGCACTAGAGCAATAGAGGTTTTAGACAACCTTATATTTTCTCTTCCTTTTAAATCTCCAAGCTTAAAATAAAAATGCTAAAATGAATTTTCAGAACATGGGACCTTTGATTCAGCGGTGGAGAATTGGCAGAGACACAAAGTGTCTGATTGTTGAATGCTGCTTTATTTAATGGCCAACACAGAGGAGTGTAACATGAGGCTGTTTGTCTTTAAAGCTTAATGAGTTTGTATTCTGATGTGACCTAGACAGTCTGAACAGCTCTGGCTCCAGCCTTAAAGCTGTCTTTATTGGAGGCCACTTCTTTGCGCATTTGTTTGTAGACCTTGGGGTAATTTTAGCTCTGTGGGCTAGCAGGTATCGGATCATCACATATGATATGAACTGTTCTGAGTTCATACTGTAGGGTTTGTGCTCTAAAACTCACTATCACACAATGATGGGGTTCTTTCTGAACCTTGCTGTGGTGACTCAAGGTCATAAAAGTCGAGGGATTTCCACATTTAGTACTGCAGGATTCTGATAGAGGTAAAACAGTTCTTGAAAATGTCATACGAGAGCGTGCGTGTGTGTGTGTGTGTGTGTGTGTGTGTGTGTGTGTGTGTGTGTGTGTGTGTGTGTGTGTGTGTGTGTGTGTGTTCAACGCAGGATGGCCAGGCTGAGCTGGGAACGGGGCTCAGATGGAGACAGAAAGACAGTTAAAGACAGACAAAGAAAAAAAATAGGAATAATAAGAAGAGAAAGATTGAAAACTGCTAAAACTGTGTTCAAAGAGTGGTGTGAGTGTGTTTTTAATGATGCGACAGTATGAGCCACAGCTGTATGATCCACTAACCCTTCTTGTGACCTTGTCTGTGCTAGAAGACGACCAGCTGAAAGAGAAGTCGCACACTAACATGCAGCTGTTTTCTGTACAGTCCTTTTAGCGAGCTTGTGAGTGAGTGCAATGGATATCTCATAAGTTTCCTTCACTTAAAGTATTTGATCCTGTATGTGTATCATATGTGTGCTAATAGCAGCTTAGAGCCATTAGTCAGTAGCTCCTTAGCTGCGATTTCACTCAGCAGCCTTAAATTTAAACCTGTATGTCACTGAGAAATCCACCTCTGGCAATGAACCTGTGCACGTCTGTATGTGTGTGCTTATGTATGTGTTTATGTGTGAGCTTCGGTTGCTCTTGCAGAATATTTTGGCCGGGGTTCCTGGATTTACCTGTTGTATATGCGTGGGTGTGTATATATTTCCCCCATCTGCATGAGTTACATGGGTGATGTAACTGTACCTCAGTGGTACACTTGCGTGTTTATCTACGTGGTTTTCGCTGTGTGTACGTAGATGTACATACATTTTGACTGTTAAGGTTAGGGTTTGCCACTTGGTTTTCAGCCCTAATGAAGACCACGTGCGCGGCTGACACATGTCGCTTGGCTTCCTTTAAATTCTCCCCCTGTAGCCATTTAGGTGATCCCATGTTATTTTCCACTTAAGATGAATGGCACTGGTTGTTGTTTTTATTTTTTGCATTGTTATGCTTTTTGGTTTTACTGCTACCGCTTTATTATGCAAGCAAAGAAACCATCTCCAGATTTAGCTCCCAGTTACTCTGCAAAGAGTGCCAGCACAGCTGACCTCAGAAGACCTGAAAAGACTTCCCATTCCTGCAGCCTCTTTGCATGTTTACATGTAATGCTCGTCTTCTGTGTTATATTTTCAAAGCTACGAGCAGGTGCAGTTATCCTTATTCACCTATAAGAGCCAGACCATATTCATTTAGTGTTTCTTTCATAAAATTAATCCTCCAAACAGGATATAATCTCTCCTCTATTTTACCAGACTATTGCTGGTGGGAAGAGCTTTGAATTAGTCTCTCACTCTAATCTCCATTTTCCTTTGCCTCTTTAATCTTTTACCTTTATATTGACATGATATGACTTGTTGTATTTTATGAAAGCTGATATGCCTGTGCAAATTCATTGTGAGCTGAAACAGTGGAATAATGTCCCTTTTCTACGTGTTTTCTCTTATGCAAAACTGTATTTTTTTGTTATACTTGCTAAAATCAATCTTGCTTTATCTCTGCGTTTGTCTGCAAACTTTTTAAATTCTTTGCTGTAGCTCATTCTAGTTTTATTCTTTTGAGTATATGTCGTTGTATCATTTTTCACCTCTACCTCTGTTATTAGAAATATAACACTTAAAAAAAAATCCAAGATCTTATCCACATAGGAATGAAAACTGTTTTGGCTACAGTTAAACAAAGCAGACAAATTTAATAAAAGTGCCTCAAGAAGGTTTTCACGCTCACATGAAGTGGAAAATTGCTTTGTTAATCAGGAATCTGCACAGTAAACACTAATGCAAACACACTGGGAGGCTGGCAAAATACAGGTGGGGCACAGTCTAGATTTAATTTTAATTGCAAAATGGTTAAATATTTGTTACCGAGAGTTTAGTAGAAAGTCAATTTCTTTTTAGTGTCTGCCCATTCAGAATGAAGCTACATCCAGCAGCTCATAAGTTTACTTTAACATAAAAAACTCAAAGCCTTTTTTTATAACTCAGTTTATGTGAAAATTAAACAAACTAGACTTAATTTGTGACTTGGGGAGCTTTGTCGGTGGATTGTGTTACATTAAAATGGAGCCTATCTAGCTGCTTCAACCCGCTCCCAGTCATTGTGGCTAAGTCAGGCTAGCTGTCCTCTTGGTTCAGGTCAATATAAAAAGGAAAGACATTTTGCCAAGATGGACATAAGCATATTTCCCAAAAATGTCCAACAATTCCTTCCAAAAAGCAGGTTTGATGGTCTGAAACTAAAAATCTGGTCAGACAAGAAATGTGTTTGAAATATAGCCAACAGTAGCTTCAAAGGAAATCATTCAGCACAAGGAAGTTTCAGACTTTTAAATGAATGAATGCTCGTAACTGATGTATTTCTTATTTCTGTACTTTCCCAGGTAGGGCAGTTCAGTCAATTTCTCCATGAATGTACGTCACAATGATGATGACAGACCAGATTCCGCTGGACTTGGCTCCGCCCCCCCTCCTGAACGGGGAGGTCCCTCTCATGCCTCACATGGTTAACGGCGATGCGACACAGCAGGTAAATACTCGCTCACGCTGACACGAACAAACGCACACGCATGTCTGCAATGTGCATTTCCTGTTTAACAAACATGTTAGTCAGATGAATGTAACAGTGTACATCAAACAGTACAGCGCACACTTCTCTGTTGTCAGTTGAGCACCTACCACACGGATTGTTGCCATAAAAATTGCTAGAGAAAAGCCCTCGTGTGTCACAGAAGATAAACTACTAAATACATACAGGTATATTCAAATGCATTACTTATTCCTTTGGCGCAGCTTTAAAGGCAATATTTAAAACACTGAATGGCTTTATTGATAGATTTCAAACCTTTACGTGTGCAAACTTGCAATAGCTTGCACACGGACATATGCTTCTCTGTGACAGACCGATCTTATCAGGTGCTGTAGAGCCAACTGGATCACCTTCAGAGTACAAAACCGCACCCGGGCTTTGCACAGGCAAAAGGAAGCGATCGGCATAATGAAAAGCATCACAGTTAATTCACCTTGGTCTAATCTTGTTGTCACACACACTTTTTTTTTTCTTTTTTTCCCCCACACTGTGTGTTTTTGGTATATGAAGGATGATGATGTTTATGCACCATCCCCAGCCTGTCCCCTCACAGCCCAGAGGAAGCATCGTGGGAGTGTTTTGGCTGCAACACATAACAGTTATGGGGGGGTTTTGGCTGCGGCACACAGCAGTTAGGGCTCTCTTTTTATTCTAACACCCTGCAGTTTAAAACTTGGTTCCCAGTATGGAATCAGTGATCTAGACCGATGATTATATAGATTTGACTCTGCGTGTGTGTGTCTATTTGTTTGTTTCTTGGTCTGTCTGCGTGTACGTGTGTGTATTCGTTTCTGTGTGGGCACGCAAGTGTCTGTGTTGAGTCTGAATACATACTTACGTGTTTGTCGGCTTGCTTCAGTTTCAGCTTCCTTGTTTCTTTATCCACCTACCTTCACCTGTTTATGATTGTGTTTATCAGTCAGTGGCTTTGGTACATGCAACGAGATCATGTATACATACATGCCTGTTTTTGTATAAGAGCGTTCTGTCATAATTTGTCTGTAAAAACAAAATTCACTATGGAGGCTCTCTCATCACATCAAATCCAACAGTGTGTTCAAATTCTTAGTTATATTTTAGAAAAATTAGTTGGTATCTAATTATCTATTGTGATTAAAACAAATATCAAAATACTTTTAATTGTCCTACTGTAATAGTATTTAAATATATAGAAACCTGAAGTAGCTGAATAATAACGTGCATCAATGTAGTCAATGAGAGGCTCCAGTTACAACCTTCTATTAGCTATATTATTGGGATCTACAGTATTGGTCACATTTCTTTGTTGTAGGGCGGTCAGTTAGTTTTACATGCCGAAGAAATGCCTGTAAATCGTTTTATTCAGTTTCAATTGGAGTGCTGGTCCTTCTGAGAGTTTATAACCACATAATGGACTTAGGCACGCTAATTTATTATTGACTATTATTGCTTAAGCTATGAAATCCATCTGCACTCTGATTAAAGACATTTGTTTTAGTTATTATCTGTAAAGCACTGTCCAAAACATTTGCAATATTCAGACATTCATATCCATTTCCATATCTGGCCACTGTTGTGCATGAGACTTGTAAGCCATAGTGGAAGGGGTCTGTTTAAACCTGAAAGCCTAAACACAAATGTATTTGTGTTTAGGCTGTCTACTTCTTTAGTTTATGATCAGTGCATCAGAATTATGGGTCAGAGACTAGTGAGTAAAAGGGAAGGACACGCTTCCCTTCAATATTTCTGAGGAATTTTCTTGTTAACCTATGGCAGTGATAGTAGTGAGGAAATGGTGCAAAGCTTCTCTGCTGTACTTGTTATAGGTGCCTTTCCAGATAAATATCTAAAGAGAGAAAGAAACACTAAAAGTGGACCGAAGACAGTTCAAAACATAAAAGCTTTAGTGACAACCATGTTGGTGTGAAACCAGTGTACTGTACAAGATCTTAATGAACATATTCACAACAGCTCAGAATCACTTCAGACCTTAAGGAACATGAGAGCAAAGATGGTAACCCATGCAGTTAATGATATAGCTCAACAACATCACACTACCACTTTCACACCAAAGAGTGCCATTTGCATTCAAAACTATAAGGTGATGTAATTGCACTAGTTGTAATCCTGTTTCAGTTACTCTTTTGCAGAGAAAGTCTATGGAAGTGAAAATAGACCCTAAAACCTAGAACTGTGAATGATATCCTGTGGTCCAAAAGTGCCCATAGAAACATTGAGTGAAATGTTTTCAATATGCCACTTTTTATGTAAAATGTTGAATAATGTCAGTATGGGTTTGCTAATTTAACTTCCCGTGTTTAATAAAGAGCCCTGCTCTTGCACTTTTGTAATTTGTAATTGATGCCTTTTAAAAGGAGCTTTTAAATCATAAATCACAAGTGGTTACACTTAGAAGCCTTTTCTGGTTTTAATCTTAAAAAATATGCTTGTTTTCTATAATCCTAACTAAAGGTAGAAGAATTGGGTCACTTTGACTTAACCCCTTAGCAGTCCTATTAGTCCCCTAAACCATCCAATGTCCCGTGGGCGGTACGTCCGACTGCTAACAGTTTAATCACTACTGACTGAGTCATTATAGTCTCATTAATCAGTCATAATATCAAAACAAATGTGCTACATGATTATTTTGCGCATTGAGTGATCTTGACATGTGATGGTATAACAGTACACAGACACACACACATACACACCTACATGGTCTAATGCAGGGGTTTTCTCAATCCTTGGGAAACATGGGTCACCCTGTGCTGGGGGTTCCCATAGCAACAGCAGCCGCTGCAGCAGACAGAGCAGGAAGTGTGTGAGTGTGTGTGACTGAGGGAGAGGAGCAGGTTAGCGCTGAGATGGGAGAAGATGCAGTCACTACAGAAGGAACGTAGGATATGAGGATTTTACAGCGGCACACCTGTAGAGCATAGACAGGGCTGTGCCTGTGTGTGCATGCGTGTGTGCCTGAATACGTGTATGTGTGTGTGTGTGTGTGTGTTTGTGTGCAATGGAGGGGCACCTGTTTCATGTGTACAGCCACGTGTACACTCTGAACAATCTGTATGCGGAAAATATGACGGTAAGGTGCATGCGTTCTCCCCTCAGGCACATTAGGTAGAAGCGCTGAGAAATCGAAACGATGTCATGTGTTTTGAATTCATTTGTGTGCGCTCACCTGTCTGTGTGTGCGTCCATCTGTCTGTTAGATGTATTTGTGCATACTTGTTTTATTCTTGTAAGAGTGGTTAAAAGATGAAGGCTTTTCTTAAATAAGAGTCTGTGAGATGGCAGCAATAGTGTCACCATTAGCTTTTCTAACACCTCATTCATATGTGTGAACTCTCTGCCGAACTATGAGAGCCGATGGTTATTGTGTTATGTCACTGCTGCAAGCTCTGCCTAGCTGAGTATCTGTCCTGTTCTGTGATTGCTAAAGAAAAATGTTTAATACATGTTTTTCCCCTTAAATTATAGATATTTTTGTCACAAAGTTTGATTGATTCTTTTTTTGTTGTTGTTGTTTTTTTTATGTGTTCGTGCAGGTAATCCTGGTGCAGGTGAACCCGGGGGAGACGTTTACCATCCGGGCAGAGGACGGCTCACTGCAATGCATCCAGGGTCAGTCCTCTACGATATTATTACGTTATCATATTAACATGTAGCCTGGTGGCCGCTCTGATGTTTGTCACTGTGAGACAGAGTATTACCCATCATTTTAATTATATCCTGGCTGAACAAGATTTAAATGAGATCTTTGGGCTGACTCCTAAAAGTTAAAAACATTTACGGAAAAACAAATAATGTTAATGCAGTCTATGCTTAGAAATCTTTGATTGGTAAATGTGAAAGCAAATAATCGACTTTTACTTTGAGTATTATCCATTACCAGAGAAAACCATAGCAATGTCAAAGGAGTAGCTGTCCAATAAAGTCTCAGAGTTTTCAAAAGTCTTCCTTTCTACCTGGTCAGACTTAAATCCTGGACAGTCTGCCAGAACATGGTAGAGCCAACACAGAGAGACAGACATTTCAGTTCTCATGTGTTTGCACATGCAGACCAGTAAGTTACTTATTTTTAAACAGTCCGTATTAGTGTGACTGTATCATTAACCACCACAATGGCTAATGGTTTAATGGTTTATTTTTCTAACCAGAAAGCCTGGAAATGAAGTGTTTTCAGCTGGATTTCAACCCTTTTGAAATTCCGAGTGTATATATAAGACTACAAATGCAGAAAATGCAGAAACTCCAGAAACGGTGAGACCTTTTAGTAGACTGGTCAATAATGCAGGAAGAACTTTGGAAGAGGAAACGGAAAGCAAGTGGAATGGGATCTAAGGGTGTTATCTCCAAATGAAGTACAGCTAGTTGAAAGCATAGTCTACACAATGACAGATTTAGACAGAGTGGGCAGCCATGGCTTCACTGTGGTTGCATCTGATAGCAGTGCATGAAAAGACTGGAAATACAAGCCACTTAGGATCGCTCAAAGACGGAAGGAGGTGGCAGTAACACAACTCTGCTGAAATTGTGTCTCGCTTTGATGATGTCAGAAATGTAACTTTGAAAGGACATCTTTGTTTTTTTCTCAGTCTTTTTCAATCTGCATCTTCTTCACTCGCTCCTTCTTTTTTTTTCTTTTCAGCCTTTGAATTTTTTTTCTGTAAGAAAGAAAGACAGACAGCAGTCTCGACTCAGTCACTGTCGCCCATTTATTAAAAAAACAAAACAAAAAAGACGCATTACCACAACACTGTGTTGTAACAAATGGCATCCCACCACCTTTTCCTCCACCCGCCTTGTAATTCAATTTTCCCCTCAAATCAGAGAGACTGCTCCAGGCAGAGCTATGGGCACAGATAAAGCCAGATAGAAACGGTGCATGATTTAATGGATGTATGCAAAGATGGGAAGATACAGTTGCCAGATAAGATAAGTGAATTAGTGACTTGTAGAAAAACAGCTAAACGACAGACGAAAGAATGGTTTAATGTAGAAAGTGGATATATGAGAGGGATACCAGACAGTGATTTGCAAAAAGACACAGTACTGATGTAGCTGGGATCTGCCAGCTTTCTGTTTGTTTGTGTGGTTGCGTGTTTGTACTTGAAAATTTGGCATCGAAGGCACAATGTGTGTCTTTGTGCACCTTTTTGGTGCCTTTTACTACAGTCGCAGACAGCAAATTAGGTGGAACATTACAGACTTTGAGCCCTCTTTGAATGCAGATATTATTAATGTGAAGGACCACACACGCACAAACACACATACGCACAAACTTTCTCTCTATCTTAGTCGGCAAGAGGTCACTGAGTTTAATGAAAGCTGGAGTGTGGCAGTGTGTTCCGAAGGATAACTGAGTTGCACTTTAGAGAGACTCAGTGTGATTAGTGAGACCTCAGAGGTTCGTGTTCGCGCATGCTTGTGTATTTGTGGCCCTGCTTGTGTGTTTGCATTGCAGTGTACTTGTGTGCAAGTGTGTGCGACAGAGCAAGATTACAGAGACCTCAGGGCACAGCCAGGAACCAGCTTTTATATAAAGTAACCTCTGTTTAGCTGCTGCAGTGTGGTACGTGCATGCATGCAAACATGCATATACGTACACACGCAGACATGGATGCTCTGCCAAGGCAGGACCAGCCTGAAGACGTCAACGCAGCAGCCAGAAAAGATTCTTTCATATGAACCACAAGACCTTCCTTCTCCTCTCCTCACTTCTCTTCCCTTCCTTCCTCTCATCATCTTTTCCTGCTACCTCCCTCCCTTTTCCTTTTTATTCCTCTCGTTCATCTGTCTTGACCTTAAGGCAAACCTGGAGCAGAGAAGAGGCTATTGTATTTGCCGGATTGATGTTAAGTACTGCTCATTAACCACACCCCTGCTAACTGCTACAGGCTCAATTATGTTCTTTTATTTTAGCTGAAAGTGTACATAAAATCTTACTAAGGTCCACGAATCCCATAACCTCAGGGCGTATGAAATCCTTTCAGAGCTTTTTTTTGTGCATATTGAAATAATTCACAATGCTCTAAAATATATATTTAAAGCCATTTTTTTACCACTTTTCAGATATGTTAGAGATCTGTCTTTACCATCTCTTTTTTTGTGTCCCTTTCCTTCATTGATCCAGTGAAAGACTGTATCTTGACCTGAAATCCTTTCCAGCAACTTATTAGCATCATTTCTGCATGTGTATGACTGCATGTCTCCATCCCTTGTTGAAGCAGCATGACCCTTCAGTGATCCAGGGGCCAGATTCATCTGACCCCCCACACACACTCCTACCCTCTCACTGTTCCCACCTTCCCCCTCCTCCCTTTTGCCCCCCACCCCCGTCCGTCCCCCTGTCTGTCCCCCTCCCCCACTAAGACAATTCCCCTGAGCTTTCCCACACTCACATCAAAGGACAAGACTCGAGGGTGTGTTAGAGCACCCTGCTCTGGAATGTGAGTGTGTTAATATGCGTTGTGTGCGCGTGTGTGTCTGTGTGTGTTTTACAAGGCTGTGTTGGTTTACTGTGTTGTTTGGTCTTTGTTGGACTTTTACGAGGGATGATGAGGCCAGAGGGTGAAGAGCAGGAAGCTGTGCCCTGCCTGGGAGAATATGACATCATGAAGTTTGGGTGGCACCAGCTTAATTTCTTCTGAAATTTAGGGCGTAGTTGATAATAACCACAAGGTTTAGTTGATTCGTTTTCTAGTTAATGAGCAGTAATCCTGTAAGTCCTCAGTTTACTGGCTGCAGTGTTTTTAAAATGCATTTCAGTATAATACATGGGGTTTGTTTGCCTTGGTCTTCTGTGGACATTTGGAATTATTCTCTGTTGTAATATAATAAATGTATATGTGAGGCTGAGAAGTATGAGTAGTAACTGTTAGTGTGTCCTTCACAGTGAATGGAGAACTTTCACCTCTTGTATTGCTTAACGCTATGATTTTGTTTTGTTTTTTAATTGACTGTGCTTGGTGGAGCATGTGTGCTAAGGCTTGTTGTGTTGCTGCATGACCCGCTACCAAAGAACCAAACCGAACATGTTAAAAAGCCAGAGCCATCACCAATGTTCCCTCTAAGCTGAGCACGTGAGCAATCGCGCACTGCTGACACGGGGGAACAGTGGCCAGCACCATGGAACGCCGCTCCTCTGATTGAGCATGCTTTGCAGAATGAGACACTCAAGATCCATTTCACCAGGTTGGTGGCAGTACAAACAAGCAAATGTATCATAAAGAAAGCCTTTAAAGTGGAATATCTGTGAAAAAAAGTCTAATAGCCCCACAACCAGGATGTCTTGTTTCCACAGAAACTTTTTTTTGGCACATTGGTACTGCAACGGGATTTCAATGGTAAATTCTTTCCTTAACACAAGAATGGTTGGTTTAGAGAAATAAAAGGCCTGTGGGCCAGAATCAGCCTGATGAAGACTTGAATCTGGTGTAGTTTAAAGATTTGGAAAATGTGAAGGTGTACAAAGATTTTGGACTTTCGGCTGTGTTTTACAGTAGTAGCAGTAGTACTTCCCTATTGGCATTCATACTACATGAGTAGTTAAGTAGTAGTAAAATAGTTAAGCAATAGGATGACAATTAAATGACAGAAATGTTCTTGTTTTTAGAATCTACTATAAAAATGTTGGTTAGATAAAAGGAATTAACCAAAACTTTCTGTTTTATAAATACTGGACAGTCTGGACAATGAGCTGCCAAAATCTTTTCTGTAATTTACACACAGATCATGTAGAACATAGGTGTCAAACTCTGGCCCGCGGGCCAAATTTGGCCCACAGCCTAATTACATTTGGCCCGCGAAGCCATACCAAATTACTATTAGATCTGGCCTACTGGTATTATACAGCTAATATATATATTGTTTAGTATTAAGCTTTGCTTGTTCCATATTCAGTTTTCCAGCAAAACTTATTTGAGGCCATAAGAAAAGATTCATTCTTATATCTGGAGGAAGATTTTTTTTTCAATAAATATTAATGTTAGCCCGCGACTTTGTTCCAGTTTTGAATTTTGGCCCACTGTGTATTTGAGTTTGACACCCCTGATGTAAAAAACTGGCACGTACTGCTGAAATTGCACTTCGTTTTCTGATATTAAGACATCTCAGGGATCAAATGTTCAGTTAAGTGTTCTTACAGTGAAGGAAAGTGGAGTTTCACTGGTCCAACCCACTTAAGAACAAACTGGGCTGCATGTGGCCCGTGATGTAAAGTGAGTTTGACATCCCTGGTTTAGAACATTCTCTGTGTTTTCAATTACATTTCTTTTCTGTCTGTGTTACATAATGCAATTCGGAGAGGTCTATGTGCAAAGTATATTTCACTTCCAACTTTTGGTTTGTGGAATTTTTTTATCTTGAAGGTATAGAACCCAAAGATTATCCTGCGATTCCACATGCTCTTATTTTGTCTTGTCCCTTGAGAGTAGAGAAAGCTCAAATCACACATTTTGTTCTTTTCTTTATTGCTTTTTCTTCCAATTTTAATGGGCCACAAAAAGATTAATGAAACAATTCTTCATATAAGAAATATAATCAAATATAAATGCAGGCTGTTGGGACTTCATATTAAGCCAAAAGAATTGGTTGATGTTTCTCCTTTTACGCTGATTTCT